AGTAGCCGAAATGACAATAGGAACCACTTTTACGACTTTGGCGTGCCATTGCCTTTTTAATTCCATTGTTAAATTGAACTTTTCAGTGTATGTTTCATAAATTACTAATTATTATTACTATTTTAAAATTTGTTCTGGTCTTTATTTTCTAAATCAAAGATTCCCAAAGTGGGTTTCGTGGAACCCTAAATGTTCCGTAGAAAAAACACCAGGGTTCGGTGAAATCATTTATTCTCCTTGTTAAATAATTTCACACATTGGTACAAATATTATTTTGAATTGGCGAAAAATATTTAATGATAACCCATTACTGTTATATTGATACGTAGGTAGTTAGCAAGAATTATAATATAATATTTCAATTGCACTGTGTATGATATGTCATTTGATGTGAGGTTCCATTAATAATGGGAATTGGTGAGTGTTCTGTTACCTTAAAAGCTTGGGATCTCCTGTTCTAAATGTTTACTGGTATTTTTAATAGACAAAACATGATTGGCGACTGCTTGTGAGTTCAGTCGCCAATCGGAAGGGGCACTGGTAGAATATCCGCACTGTGGTTATTACACCCCGGCAAAATGCTGAGTCAGATGTCCATTTGTTGCCACATTAATGATAATGTAATATATATCCATGTGGAGCAATCATGTGTAATTATGTAGCTTTAAGTAAATATGTTTCTTTCTTTCTTTGATGCAAAATGTTGTAAAGTATACAATTATTATTCATTGTTCCACAAATAGATTTAAATTTTGTATAAATTGGATAAATATTGCATAGAAGGAATGCATAATATAATTTTTGCTATAGTATTTTAAGAAACATCCTTTTCTAAAATTAATTCATCTCTATAACATAAATATCTGAGATATTAAAAGAGAATAGTTTTAAGTCTATCTTTAGTTAGAAACACAACTTATTACAATCTCCTTTCTTTTGTTGACGTCCCCAGTAGTATATTTTTTTTATAAAACTAAAGTGTCAAATGAACATACAGCCCATGTGATGGTAAGTGGCTACGGCAGTCCGCGGACCCCTGGAGCCAACATTATACAAAGAAGGCTTCAAATGTCTTGTCACACCTGAGGACTAAGATGAAATGCCTCACAGCCTGTGATTATATTGCCTCTATACCCTTAAGAGAAAACGAGAGTGGTCTTTTCTCTATACAAACACTCTCGCCTGTTTTCTTTCTGGTTTATGAGCTTACAACAATGAGTTTTTACAGTAAAATAAATAGCAAGTTATACACTCCAGCTTTATGATGGCTGTAGCACAAATAGGTCGGTCCGGCCACGCTTTCACAGAATACCACCGTAAAAAAGAAGATATATGTTGCTGTTTCTTATGTTTATTATAGAGAACCGGAGACCCTTTTCATTGGAAACAAGGAATTTAATCTTAGACTTCTGAGTGAACGCATCTTCATTGTGACTTTTAATCGAGGATGGATATAGCTGTGTCTTTGTCCCACAGTATCTACTTACCATTAGGTGGACTAGTTGCTCGTTTTTTACCCTTGTTTATTAAAAAATCTAAGAACTATTCTATGTCCCTATATTTTCCTTTATAAAACAAAAAGAAACTTTTTATTCAATATAGATTATAAATAATACTTATTGAAAGTCACTCTTTTGTTTAATTACCACTGGTTCGAAAAAAAACCTCTGTCCTGGGAAGAACCAGCAAGAAGAGAGTTTTTTTTTAAATAACAACTTACAATCATGTATGTTACACAATTAATCACACAAAAAACAATTGCGATCACCTCATTCCCAGGGGTTATTACCATCCATAAATTCCTTAATATTATAATAACTCTTTTTATACAACTTTTCAACATCAAATTTTGTATATTTTATGGGATTTTTTAGTAAAAGCGTATAGATCGCCCTAGGAATGAATTACTGACTCGGTGGAGTTGAGTAACTAGTACTACCAACTTGTGTTGACAATACATTATGTTTATAAGCGCTAGAACCCTTAGAAAATGCTGAAAATTGCCCATTTAGACCACTGGCTATAGAGGCCTAGTGTTCAAATTTGATAACTAATACTGAAAAAAGAAAAACATAAGAACATAATATAGAGGATATAATTGGAACATCCAATATTGGAGGAGGAAATGATAAAGAATCAAACCTAGAATTATGTCTTTATACTTAGGCTATTCAGTCGGATCTGCAGTTGTCCTTATTGGATGCGAGCGCTCATAGAGCGACAGTGATAGTTTCTTACCTAATTTTCAAGTCTTTTGGCCCACATTTCCTCTTAAGAGTGGACATTTTTTTGACAGTGCTTGCAATTTTCTTATTGTTATTGCTTTCATCCTTGTAACATGTTTGTATTCGAAGTAAAAGTAGGTACCTTTTCTTCAATAATCTAAATTGGTCACTTATTCACATCTCTCTTCTAACATATGCAAGAGTTGTGTGATTGATTATTAAACATGTATTAACACAATACCATTACATAATGTTTGACTATGGAATAAATGTCAAAATTACATAACTAATTAATTAATTTAATATTCAGATACAATAGAGCAATATCATCCGACCATAATAGGTATTTTTTGAATAATATTTGTAGGTTATTTTCTACTTTATTTCAAGTATATCTTTTTTTAGTATTTCTATTAGATATTTATTTAAGTATATCTTTTTCTCACACTTTTTAGACTAATTGCCCTTTTGCTATTTTGTTGTTAGTTTTGTCACAATCTACAACTATTAATAAGATTCCATGATGAATACTACTCCTATCAGTGGGTCCCAAAGTACATGCATTGTCGCCATCCTCCTTTAACATTAATCATTAACATTATGGAGCATAACATATAACATTGCAATTTGGCAAAACATCATACTTAAAATTACAATGACGATGAGCACATGTAAAAAAGAGTGTTAAGTCAACTTTTAAAATTGAAACAAATAATTTCATAGCTGCCCATTAGTGGATTCCGTGTTTTGTGATTTCTTAATTAATAATATAGATTTTATTCGGTAAAGTTATTTCTTTAAACTGATAGCATCTTTTATCTTTACAGTATCTCACAAGGTAATGATAATTTGTGTTACTTTTATTAAAGGTATTATATGAAAGTAATCTTAATCAACTTTATTTTATTTTGGGATTTGGTAACATAATCAAGCCCTGCTGTCAACTACTTCAAAATAGAGCCAGCCATAATAGATGCACAATTTAGACACTCATTAGTATAGAAAATAGAATAAAATATTGGATTGGCTATAGATAACCGGTACTTGATTTTAATTATGTTTTCAGTTTAGGAGGCTTGTCAGGGTTAAGCATGAACCTTTCACACTGTTTTTGAATGTCGGAAATGCGTTTTGAATTAATTACATTCAAAATAAATTTCACTAAAAATTCCGTATAACAAAATGCAAATATGACAATTTTGTATAGTGTTATGAGATTAGATGTTAAAACCGATGTAAAAAGTGTGAAACGGGACGGTGTTGACGGCCATGTTTTGGGCAACCGTAAATGTCAAATATAATGTATTATCTATGATGTCAAATGTAAATTGTCATTCCGTTTCTCTAGTGGTCACGCGAATGTTCTCTCTTGTGCTTAATGCTGTGTTTTCCCTGTTTTTTCAACTACTTCTGCTCTGTTTTTGGACTTTTTTGATTGCCCTTATGTTTGACCTTGGCTTTGTTTCTGATTTTGATTGGATTGCCTTACTTTGGACTTTGGCTTGCTTACCAGACATGAGAATGAATGATTACGAACCCATAGCGGAGCCTTCTTCGGCCCCTGACGCTTTCCTCGAGGAACCATCACACATCGACGTAGACTTCTTTCACGACGGCAACTATGTGAAGCGTTGGCTATACGTGTCTGAGATTATATTCATGTGGAATCTGTCAGATATTCTGTGCGAACTTGGACCGAACAAGCAATGTGCTCGATATAGTGAGGATGAAGGGCTGGTCCTAAAGGATCAAAAGTGCGGCAAACATAAAACTAATATGAAAATTTCATACTTAAGCTGGAATCAGTGGAGTTAAAATCTCACGACGACAGGGGACTTTTTTGAATATCTTGATATGACCCACATATATTACCTCATATATGCATATTCACAAGGATGGTCTTATAATCAAACAATTCACGAAGACAAGTATAAACGACAGAGACAACAATGTTTAAGCCCAAATACAATATGTGATTGGTACAATTACTGTAGAGAGGTAATTGTCATATACTACTTTGAGAAACAAAATCAGTTTTCTGAAAAGATTGGTGGCCCTGGTAAAATTGTACAAATTGATGAGAGCAAATTTGAAAAACGAAAATACAATAAAGGTAAATATAAGTATGATTGAGTTTTCATCTTTTTTTTGTCATATTAAATGTCTAAAATTAATTTTATTTGTTATAGGACGTCACATCGAAGGCCACTGGTTGCTCGGTATGATAGAAGATGGGTCTGAGGATTTCAGACTAGAGGTGTGCCTGGAAAATATTAGGTCTGCTGAGGTGCTGGTGCTGCTTATACAGAAACATGTGGCGGCGAGTACCACAATACATACCGATTATTGGCGGGCATAATATGATTGTTTGGCAGAACACGGGTACACCCATAAAAAAGTTAACCACTCAGACCCAGACAATCTGTTTGTGGCTGAAGATAGGACTCACACAACAAATTGAGTTACAGTGGAGAGCAGTGAGAGAGGGGTATTTTAGAAAACAAAATTACAATAATTCTCAAAGTTTTACAGATGTGATAGTAGAGTATTTGTGGAGATGAAATATAGAAAAATTTAAAAAGGATCCATTCAAAGAAATTATGCAAGCAATAAAGCATGTCTATAAAATAAATTAAACAATTAAAATTAGATTGTTTCATTTACCACTATCATAGCAGAGTTTAGGGAAACATGACTTTATTGATAAGATTAAGTTTAATCTGTACTAAAGATTAATCAGAACACCCCAAATCCATGTAGTCTTGTCTGCCTTACCCCTAGTGGTTTTGTAAAGTCGTAGACATGGAGGGAAAGCAGCCCCCGCCCGCTGTAGCAAATCACAGGCCCCTGAGTGAGCTGTAGTGGCTGAGGCTGGTCGCCGAAGGCGGAAGCTGTGGAGGTTAGCATGGGTGCCTGCGATTTGCTATGCAAAGGGTAAGGGACTGCATTTCCCGCAGCGCCGAAGCCGTTGCAGAAGTAATTTTGTGTCAATATTCCTGTATAAAAAGTGAGGTTATGATTTTTAAAAAAAAATTATTACTCATAAACTATTCATTTTCGCAATTGGGTTAGTGGGGCTTCCCCTGAACCCTTCCTCCCCCTCCCACCCCCGTACGCGAGTAACGGATGTCTATAGTTTAACCAAAATATTTTTTATACTAGATTATTACATAATGATAATTTTTATTTAGTAATTCTTCACTTAACAAATCAAACCTTCCCTGTTAGTCTAGGCAAAGATAGATTTAGTTGAGTAAGTTTTATATTAAAACATCCAATAAAAATGCAGGTAATAGCAATAGTCTAATGTGCAGTATCTGAGAAACATATGGAAAATAACAACACAATCATATCTAAGAACCCACAAGAAGAACTATTGTAGTTGTTGGGAGTTATAAGTATAGTTGCTCTTATCATGGAGGTTGGCAATTATAGCTTTTTTATTATTTTAAGTTGTTATCAGAAAAATGCTGCTGCCAACCTCCCATTTAATTTTCCTCTGCCACCTTTTACAACACCAAAGGTATGATCGTCATCATAGTGGATTCTCCTACATTAGACAGCCTGTAGTATATGCAGTATACATGGAGGGTATACAAATAAAGAGTGTAATTTTTTTTTTGTTATTTTAATTAAAACGTTACCCTCACACTAGGATTTTCTCCTGTGTCGTGGAGGCAGTTTACAAACATAAATTGCACAATGACAAACATCCAGACCCGGAACAATTATTTGTAGGCCATACAAATACTTGCTCCGTGCGGGATTCGAACCCGCGGCCCCCAGCGCAACAACTGATTGTTAAGCCACTGTGCCACGGAGCCGTCGTGTCAAATGTCACGGAGTGTCAAACCATCTTGCGTTTGTTTCAGTACATGGTGACAGTGGTGGGCGTTTAAAAATGGAAATAATTCACAAATCCACTAAAATATGTTTTGAGTGTAACTTGCAATAAAGAGGAACTTGTGTGTGTTTCACTACACAGCCTAGCTCATGACATAGTGACCAGATACTTTGACAATTAAGCCATGCAACTGTAGTATGATAGCTATATTTTATAATATGAAGTGGTGTGATATAAAAATAGTTCAGTATTATCTTACTACACTCCTTAGATTCCCAACACAAAACTGATATGGACTTTAGTGAGTGTTTATATGAATGATAAGAACTGGAGACCAAATTTTTGGTAACATAACAACTTAAGCTTCTTATTACTTATATTTCTGGCATTTTTTGTGAAAATCATAAAGAAAATTATAAGGAATCTGTTCATTATTTATGCAATTTTTTAATAATTAGAAAGAATAATTTTATTAATAATATATTTCAATTAATTTTGAATCAAATAAAACTAAAAATCAATAAGTAAAAAAGTAAGCAATACCTCTTACGTACCGTAATAACGATTATTACATTAAATTGCCAAAAATTATGATTAAATACTTAAGGCATTCAAAATAAAATTCTGTTTCTTAAAATAATATTTCCGATGAAAGAAACTAAGTACAGCCATTTCAAATTAACAAAATATCTGTTCAGGGTCTGTACATATTGTGACACTGTAACCACGCAGAGTAAACAGTGAACGCGATTTCGAAATACTGAAATCTTGTGAAATCGTAAGGGATCTAATAGCATAATGGTAATTAGTAATTCAATGTTTATAAAACGCTTACCTAAGCAGCAGATGACGAACTTGAAGAAAGTAAAGAGGAAAGCATTATAGAAGTTCGCATCGTAGTAATTCACATCCGCTTCAGTAACATCTACGTGGTCGACTGTCACGTTGCTAAGCACCGAAACCTCCTCGCCGCTCGACACCGGCAATCCCAAGCTGATCTTCAGGAACTCATCCACCACAAACAGCGGTGGGACTCGCAAAAGCACCTCCACAAGCGCCAGGGCCTTCGACCTCAGCGACATCATTCATTTATGCGAATCTTCACACACTGTCACCAATAATTTACACAGCCGATAAAGACGGCAATTAAGAACCCGAACTGCTTGATTGATTTTGTATTTTTAGACACTATTTCTGAGATCACGTAATAATTGTTCGTTTACAAGACTAAAATTTTTGCGACAATAAAATTTGACAATAAGGATTTGATGTTAACACCGCAAAAAATGTTTTTTTTTTTTTGGAGTTTATGGCCTGGTATCTAGACCTTTAGGCCAAGTCTTAAGTATTTTTATTCGGTTTATTGTAATTTCCCCACTCCTTCATAGTATACTGCTTCACAATATGTTGATGCGTCACATTGTGCAGTTCTTGGGAGATTTTGGCGGCAACTTGATCCAGCAGACAGCTGATAGTTGGCGATGGTATCTAAAGGTGCCTATGCAAATAAACAGCTTATCTTGAGAATCCATCACCATCAGAGCACTTGTTTCACTGTTTCCACTAATAGTTCACATGCGTAGACACTTAATACACAAAATCGCAACACTTTTACATATCAAAGTCCACTTCGAACCATTATTTTAACAATAATACAGGAGCAGCAAACCGCCGCCGGTCAATTTCCCGCCAAAACTCCGCAAAAAATGTTTTTGTTAAATTAGTGTTGCTAGCTACATCTAAACAAATTACCAAAGAGTATATACTTTCCTATGATACTGGTTACGAGCTTGGGGTTCGAGACAATTAAAAACTGCCGATTGAATTACCAAAATTGATACTTTAATTACACAACACTAATTACAATCTAAAACCACACTAATAATAAAACACAATAGTACTACTGATCACTTAAGTTCGCAGTTGTTTCGCTTCGAAGTATCTCTTGTATCGCCAATTCAATACTCCTTGGTTTTTTTTTCTGAATGTGTACGCTGTTGGCCCTGCGGCCTTGACAGCTTCATCTGATTAGGCTCGTACGTGAGGACTTACGAACTATCGAGTGCAACGATTCTGCTGGCGGTGAGGCATGGGGGGCAGCATCCCTCAGTGGGGAGTACGAGCCCGCCTCATTCACCAACGGATTTTCGTGTTCCTTTATCGAATCGAAGTATCTATCCTTAAGATACGTGTGTATAGTGGGCATATTGAGGTCGCGGTGAAGATCCGCGTCCCTCACATGGAAGGGAGTTCCTGTGATTTGACGCAGAAATTTATTTTGAACAACTTGAAGTTGTTATAGGCTCCTTTTGGAGACGTGAGCAAAGGACACGCCAGCGTATGTCATAATTGGACGTACGCAGGTTTTATAGAGATGCCACTGACTTATATACCATTATATATTTTTATTTTATGGCTTTAATAAAAATAATGTTATTTTGTCAGCAAACCACACACGTTTTTATTGCTTTTCTTGCAATGCTGTCCATCCAAAGGTTGTCTGGAAGAGATCGCTCTTAGCGATAAGACCGCCCATTGTACCACATTTCTTTTTCTCATTTTTTGGTTAAGGCGAAAAACGATACACCACGAATTTTGCTTTATTCCTAACTGTTCTAATGTGCTGAGAGAAGCTCATTGCACAATCTAAGGTCACCCCAAGGTATTTCACCTCTCGGACCCATGGGATTGGGCTGTCGTAGAGGGAGATCGTACCGTTATTATATTTTTTAATATAGTCGTATGCCATTAATCTGTTATAAGCAAACCTTTTGTTAAAAAAGATCGCTTTACTCTTATCGGGGTTCAGTTCGATTCTCCATACTCCTTGGTCGTGGTCTATACCGACCTTATATAGGGCCTCAGATAGTTTCCAGAACCTTCTACTGTAGCGACATCTAGAATGTTCGAGTACAAATCGGTCCCGAAATTTCTGGAAGAATTTTGACTCTCCTAGTTCTGCTACTCGACACTAGAGGGCACTAGTGTAATTAGTGTTGCCATGTACAAGAAATTAATAGTGGCGCGCAAAACTGCTCATGCCGTTGCTCGTCCCGAGCATTATTGGCCCTATAATAACGCGCCAGTCGATCCACGTGGACGATCTTAGGAGTTCCTCTGGCACCTTTCTGTATCTGGTAGGTTACGTCATTGATCCTTGTCACAATCCGGTACGGTCCGTCCCATTTAGTTTGAAGCTTAGAAGATTTCCCTTTGCTGCGAACTAGTTTGTGTAACTACACTAGTGAACCTTCGTCAAACCCCTTGTTGTTCATTTTGCGGTCATACCGTGTTTTCATCTTCTCAGACGTTTGCTGGCCCGTCTGTCTGATGTGCTCATAAATGTCATTCATTTTGTTTCGCAAGCCATTTGCATAATCGGTTATACTGCGTGGGGCATCAGGTGGTATTCTGGTGATCAGGACTGCAAGCAGCCGTAATTCTCTCCCAAAGTTTGCGAAAGCTGGTGTCACTGATGTACTTTCGTGAAGTGCGCTTCGATATGACAACAAAAACGGTTGTATGTGCCTGTCCCAGTCTCGTTGCCGTTTTTCCCCAACTTTTGCTAGATACCTCTCCAATGTCTGATTAAATCTTTCTACCATTCCATCAGATTGTGGGTGGTAAGAAGTTGTTCTTGTTTTATGAGTACCCATAACTCTACAAGGTTCCTGGAATATTTGAGACTCAAAACTCCTTCCTTGATCGCTGTGAATCTCTAAAGGTACTCCAAAACGACAGAAGACTTCATGAACTAGTTTATCTGCAACCGTTGAAGTTTCTTGATTTGGAATGGCGAAGACTTCTGGCCACTTAGTGAAGTAATCCATCACAACCATGAAATACTTGTTGCCACTTTCACTTTCCGGAAATGGCCCCGCAACGTCAATGGCTATCCTCTCCAATGGTGCACCAACATTGTACAATTTCAATGCGCCTCTACTAAGAATTTGAGGTCCCTTTACAGCCGCACAAGTTGTACATTTGCGGCACCAGTCCTCGACATCGTCACGATAGTGGACCCAGTAAAACCGTTCTCGGATCTTCAGTAGAGTTCGTTTGACTCCCATGTGGCCTCCAGAACAACCACTATGGTACAGCTGTAGAACGTCCGGTACTTTAGCCTTAGGGACAACCATTTGCAAATGACATCTGTCTCCCCGACCATTTTCCCATTTACGGCACAGGACTCCATCCTGAATCAGCAAGTTGTCCCATTGGACCCAATAGCTTTTCGTGGTCGAACTCATTGCTGAGACGTCGCTCCACTTGGGCTTAGGAGCACTGGCCTTTATCCATTCCAGAATCGGCTTAATGTCCGAATCTTCCTGCTGTGCATCTTGTAGGCTGTCCTTCCACTCATTGCTGAGCTTGTCTATCCTGAGTATCCTCACAGATACCACTTCCTTACTCTCTTGCCTAGTACAATGCTTGCAATCTCCAGGGCAGGCTCTTCTTGATAATGCATCTGCATTGCCATGAGATTTCCCGCTGCGACGTTCGATCACAAAATCCATCTCGCAACTTGTCCTTCCGGATTTTTGAACTGCAATAGCCATTTCAATGCAGCATGGTCAGTTCGTAAGTGGAATTTCCGCCCCAGAAGATATTTGCTGAAATGCTGCAAGTACTTTACCACAGCAAGCCATTCCCGTCTTGTGACACAATAGTTCCTTTCCGGCTTTGACAATGACTTGCTGAAGTACGCTATCACAATCTCTTGATCACCATTCCGTTGAGACAACACACCTCCAAGTCGTATATTACTTGCGTCTGTGTCAACTATAAATTCCTTGCCCGCATCAGGGTACCCCAAAATAGGTGTTTTGCACAGACGGTTCTTGAGCTCCTGGAATGCAATATCGCAACTTTCATCCCAGCAGAAATATCGCTTCTCCTCGATTAGGTTGTGCAGAGGGTTGGCTATATCTGCAAAGTTCTTCACAAATCGCCGATAATAGGAGCACAAACCCAAAAATGTTCTAACCTGTGTCTTGTCTTTTGGAACCGGCCACTCCTTGACAGCGGCAATTTTCTCTGGATCCGTGCGGATACCTTCTTCCGACACTACATACCCTAAAAAGATAACTTGCCGTTTGAATAGTGAGCACTTCTTCGGGCTCAACTTGAGGTTGGCACTCTGGATCTTCATGAGCACGTGTTTCAGGTTTTGAAGGTGTTCCTCAAACGTACGGCCTACGATGATGATGTCATCCAAGTAGACCAGACAGGCATCTCCAATTAGCCCGGTAAGTACAAGCTCCATCAATCTTTCAAACGTTGCTGGAGCATTGCACAATCCAAACGGCATGACTTTAAATTGCCACAGACCCTTTCCTGTGGAGACTGCAGTTTTCTCCTTGTCCTTAGGGTCAATTTCAACCTGCCAGTAGCCACTTTTCAGGTCCAGCGTACTAAACCACTTTACGCTTGTAAGCATGTCCAGCGTGTCATCGATTCTTGGCAAGGGATAGCTGTCCTTCTTAGTAACGTCGTTCAGGCGGCGGTAGTCAACACAAAACCGCATGCTGCCATCCTTCTTCTTTCCACTTCCTTTTCACGTGCTACAGGCAATCTCCTTGGCCGCTGACGAATAGGCAATTCTTCTCCTGTGTTTATTTTGTGTTGAACTAAGCCAGTCTTTCCTATGTCAGCTTCCTTTGACGAGAAAACATTGGCATACTTGAGTAACAACTTCTTCGCCTTAACACCATTTCATTCGGGGAGAGAACGCTGCGACAGTCTTCTAAAAGTGTGGTCACTCTCGTTTGTCCATCCTTGCTGGAGGTCCCAGTCGATAGATATTGGCACCGACGCAACCAATCCCCTTCCTCACTAGTACCAACCAATGTGCCTTTTTCTATAATCTGTTCCTGATCACAAAGGTTCAGCACACGTACTCCAGACATGTCGGCGGTTTTGACTAAGGTTCGAGCCACTTTCCATGGAAGGTCATTGTCTAGCCTTTCCACGAGTACACAATGATGAGTTTGCCCAGGATTCCGAGGAAGTCTAAGCGGCACAATCGTTTCCGATCTCGGCGGAAGAACAATCTTCTTAAGGCTGTATACATTCCCTGGTAACGCCCCTTCCACGAAAAGTTCCTCTTGTCCACATTTCAAAACACCTTGCTTAACGTCGATCTCACAACAATTCTTCCTCATAAAGTTTAGGCCCAGGATGCAGTCGTCCATTATATCAGCCACGATGACATTATGCAGGTAGATCATGTTGCCTAGCTTCAACTCCATCTCCTTCTCTCCACGGACGGGTATGAGCTGACCGGTGGCTGTCACCAAATTAATGCGTTCTCGGTTGTATGCGGAGTCCCCAAGGAACCGACTTATATGTTGGGAACTGACAACCGTGCGAGAGGCTCCAGTGTCTATGGTAAGTTTACACGGCGTTCCATTGACTTCGCCCTTGATGATTAGGCTGTTCCCATCATGGGTTATTAAGGAAAGGCGCCGTAAACAAACTGAAATGAGAGCGTGAGTGTAAACACCACGCTCGCGTCCCTAGCGAGGCCCTTTGCCTCGTGCTCAAAAAACCGCCTCCGACGCTAGCGCCGCGAGTGGCGAGGCGAACTGCGAGGCGAGCCACGAGCTAGCGTTTACACTCGCACCTCGTGGCTCGCCTCGCGACCTTCCTCGCCGCTCGCGCGAGAGTGTAAACGGGGGGTTAGAAATGTTAAATTTAGTAAGTTATCTGATTAGAAACTCTAAAGTTCCATTTAAAGCAACCAAAAAAAAATTCGTTATCATAATTGCTATGCCTATGTGTACACCTAAACGTCCCTGAAACGACCAACAGGATTTTTGTTATATACTGTATATATCGACGCAGCACGATCGTATATCACGTAAAACAAAAATCACTTATTCATCAAAAACAGTCTTATTAATATTGTTTATGTTTATGCTATATCTCGGAAAGCACGGCCGTTCCGAGATTCTGTAGTTTGTAAACATGTTCAAGATTATCTCTACCATACATTAGATGTGATAGACCACAAATACTTGTAACAGAACACCTATTGCTACCAAGGATGATTCGCGAGGCTAGTGAAATTAAAAATATCCTAATTTCAATACAGAAGATGGATGGGTGCTACTATCTGCTTGGGATCCTATAATTAATCAAATTAAATCCAAACCCAAACATACCACTGCAAGACTTCAAGATACTTACTATAAGTTGCTATAAGCTTATTCTACGTAGATTGAACCAAAAATTGATATTGAAAAACTGAAGGTAGCTGGGCTAACAATGACATCGGGACGTCAAACACTTCAGTCTTCCCGTCATAGATATAAGAAAAATAGGGGATATGGCATGTGGTCACGGGATCTGAAGTCAATTGTTTCTCAAATATGGCGACGACTCCACCCACAAGAAATAGCGTTGTTTCTGTCGATATTTTCAGTATCGATGCTATATAAATTATGACGTATTGTCCATCTCATAGGTATATATTAAATAAACAAATATTAGATTACTACACTATTGCAATGGGTTAATCCTGTAATAATAGTTGTATTGAGCACTCCATCCGCGCGTCCCTGGGTCGACGCATGCATTTTTTTTTCTCCTCTGCAGATATTAACGAAACCAACACTATAGGCAATGTATCAGGCTTCGTATGATTTTTTTGTCCAGCCTATGCTGTCCCACTACTAGGCAGAAGTCTCCCCTAAGTTTTTCCCAGTGGTTTTGTCCTGCACTACATCGAACCAGCCCCAACGGTATGCGTCCAGGTTGCGTGAATTATATCATATATATATAGACTATAGCGGCTGGGTAGTTAGTTGCGAGCGCAAGTCCTGTACCTTCATGCTTCGCTTAATGTACGTTGACCTGAGACACCATCAAGTTTTCTTTCAACTATGTCTGCACGGACTAGCGCTCGCTCTTAACTTCCAAGCCGCCATAAAGATTCGACAACACCTTTCTTTCGTGGTAATGGTCGGTTACCAGTTCAAGTCACCATGAACGTGCAGTAGACTGACCTTTATCTTGATTTTTTTAAAGTTTGTGGAGCATGTGTTCTTTCATACATAGTTACTAGCCGTCATCTCTTTTTTTTTGATAATAAAGATTATTTATTTATTTATCTCAGTAATCTAATCGAGTTGAGCAGCCCCTTTCTAACCATACCACCGTTCGCACAATCCATTAATCATTTAACTATCCCAACGCATTCCTCAATCTTCAGCATCGCATGTTCATACCATATGACAACCAATTTCCATGCAACATTTCGATTAATAGGGGTGGCTGCGCCGCTTCGGCCTTCCATTTCCGTACTCATTTCTCATTATATCCCATTTGTGTAACACCACAAAATATCAATTTTATAGTGTTTACAACCTGCAAGTTGTAATAACTTCCACCAGTAGCGTAATTAGTGGTGGATACTGGAGGTAAACGAGAGAGTAAGGATTAAAAATAAATAAAATAACAATAATGTATACTGATTAAAATCATTTATTCGTGACGAAATAATATTATTTAGTCAGAAAATTTATTTTAGACACATGAACCAAATCACCCTTAAGCCGAACTACATCCAGCGTTCTATTTATACAATATTTTTCAAAATGCAAGGAGCATATTCTTCTTACTACTACAGGTTTTATGTTTTCCTGGCCTATATTTTCAATCCACAATTTTTGAAGGCCTTCATTTTTTGGCAACCTAAAATAAATATTATGCATCCTTAAGTACCAATCAAAAATAATCTTAATATCATCAAATCTTTTGATGAAAAAAACTATTATAGAAAATTTACACTATTTTCAAGTTCTTTTCTTAAATGAAAGGCTCTTAATCGATCCTTTGATTAAATATACAGTTTACGTATCTAAAACGTTATTTGATCATAGGACTACATTAATATTATTGTTAAAATTTATATCGATAATTTCAAAACATGACAGTACGTAAGGGCAACACTATGTAAAAATGTAAACAATCAAAATGTTTACTTGTTTAAATTTACATGATAATAGTCATTGGAAATTCTAGATAATAGCGGGAAATACGATTTAGAACCCATAACATGAACACGAAACGCAATTCACACGAAAAAATATACAATTATGGAAAAAAATTACAACTAACCTGAAAAATGACAATCCTTCTTAATTTTTACGAGAATCTGAATTACATCCATTAATGCAACACTTTGTCATGTTGTTTTTGTTCAATTACACTTTACTAATGAACAAAAAAGCTCCAAAATAGTCAAAATTCACTGTAACACTGCAAAATAACTCCGAACAAGGCTTAGATGACAGACGAATTACCACAAATGAACGTCATCCTAAAATGGCGTCATGCTTCTAGGTGGAGCTTAGTGAAATTATGAAAACTGTCAACAGAAAATTGAAGTCTGAGATATGTACTTATCCTTCTTTACATTTGAAAATCATAACGTGTGAGAATGAGACAGATATATTTTTGTTGGCAAGGTTCATGTTTGCATGATATTTGTATAACCAAAAAATATATATGCAATTTACTGCTTATCCTCTTTTTCTTATATCAATGCTTCCCGTTAACCATGGGTGCTGTAAAGCACTAGTAAACGTCGGGAATTAAAAAAAAAATTTAACGTGATGAAATAATGACGCTAGACGGAGAGGGGACCGTTGAGTCTTATTGAATATAATTATGGTTTATTTTTTGACAGCATTACGAAACTTGACCTGACAATTATTTTGCTTATACCAATGAAAGAGTCAAATAATTTTAAATGTACCTAGTAGTAAAAATAATACAGTGACATCTATTATATACTAGAGGAACTACAAAATTCACGACATCTTCTGACCGTGGGTGTTAAACTCAAAATAAATTTGTCAGTGACAATCTTATCTATCGCCTTCACCGTGTCAGGAGTCAAAAGAATTACCTATATTTATTTATTATTATTTAACCTAAACGTAGTGATTATATTCTCTTTGATTTAACGTTTCAGACTTCGACATTTTATTGGACAAGCTTGTCAGAACTATGGTCAAGCCAAAGAGTATAGTAGGTCAGGCTAAAGACATTTTTTTTAAATGCTCGTAAATATATCTTAGTTATTACTATGTTCTTATCCAAAAATAAAAAATATCAACAATTAAAATATGAAATTATTTGTATGAAGGTCAAGTGAGCGCTAGAGTAACGACGATTGCAATACGATTTGTCAATAAATGAAATGTTTTGAGAAATTATCAATTACCGTGTAGTGGCGGTATATGAATATTTATATCATAGAATTATTACCCAGTAGAAACGCCTAAGGGTATTAGTGTTCTGTGCGCAGTTTAATACAAAACACGAGCGTCAAAGTGACGCAAGGTTATTATGTTAGTGTGCGCAAGTCGAATGTGCCTACGCTCATCATACGCAAACATACACGGCATTCATTGATACCAGTTTCTGGCGTTTGCAATCAAATTGTGCAAATCACAATTTCATTGATTAATTATAAATAATCGATAAAATAAAGAGTACATATTACGTACGATGGTGTATTTTATGAGAATATAAAATGTAATGAAATAAACACTATAATAATAGTACTAATATAACTTTTATTACACATATTTTAATGGTAGCAAACATGCAGACGTAATAAAATTTAAGGATATTATGTTATATTATACAATTATTCGATCGAATGCAATAAGGATATTTTGTAGTCGGTTAAAATTAAACATTACACGATGTGTAATGTTTAATTTTAACCGACTACAAAAAGGAGGGGGTTCTCAGTTCAGTGTATTTGTTACCTCAGAATTCCGTCACTTATAAAATGATTAGGAGTTTTTCTTATTTGAAAGAAAATGTACACACTAAATTTTTAATGTTTGTTTTTAAAGTTATTCGCTTTTAATTGATAGTAAATAAACTGTCTTTATACTGTAGTCTAAAACTTTTACTTGGTTAATGAACAACGCAAAAAAAAAAACAGTTAGCGTTAAAATGGCGTCTACAGATCGTTAATAGGCACCCATGAGGCACCAATTGTTAATATTATGATATTACTTAGATAAATAGGTATCTACATTTAAATGTTTGAGTTTTGCACAGAGCGTTGCGCTTTAATGTAAAAATAAATAATAGATATTAAAGATTTTTAAATAAAAATAGTGATTTTTTTTCCTCACAACTAGCAACATTTGTATCATGATAGCTTAGGTAAGTATTTTTTTTTTGTTTTACGAGTGATTTACGTAATTATAATTATATCATTCCGTAGGTTACGTAAGAGGTGACTGATCCACTGTTCCACGGTACACGTACCTTGTTACACAGTAACAAGCTACGCGTAGATCATTTTGTTTGGTTAAATCAGTGACAGGAGTAACAGAGAAAATAGTACGGTGACGGCGCAAAGGAACAACGTTGTTTTGGAGCTTTTTCACCGTGATGTTGTTTATCATTTTATCAGTCATATCTAGAAGCGACAGAGGGAGAGGGATAAACTACATATATATTTATCTATGGGATAAATCAGGAGATCAGAATCGGCAGCGTCTTCCTAATAACAACTAAAAATAAAAAATTACCAAGCGTGGCAACTATGACAAATATACCCTCTATGAGGCAATATATAGGAGAGACCTATGTTCAGTGGGGGTTTTTATAGGCTGTAACGGTGTTTGTTGTAACAGTGATAAGAAGAAAATGTGCGAGAAAAAAAAGACGAACTTTTTTTCTAAATTTTATCTAGGTGGAACGCGGATGCTCCATGCGTTGTTTAGGGCAGCGTTGCAAAGGTAGGAGAAATTTGTGGCAGTAAAATTTTTTGCTCCCCTTTATTTCCATGGCCCATGCCCAGCAGTGGAAGAAAACTGTAAGAAGAAAGAAGGGGTATTTTATTGTTTGAAAAAATATTTTTGTGTAAAAAAAGTCATCAAACAACAACATCAAACAATTTATTAAATAAAAATTGCGTAAACAATTTCAATGGTTAAAACAGTAACAAATAACAAAACCAAACAGGTTTACTGAAAAGAAAAACAATTAAAATATTATATGTCACTTCTACAACTAGGGCAAATCTAGAGAATCCGCATATGTTAAAATTCAATATCTATATGTAAAAATAAGATAACTACTATAAAGAAAGAAATAGGGACATAGAAACACTCGATTTTCATAAAGAAAAGAAATATATAATATAACTAGCTCGCCAGGCAGACGTTGTTCTGCCCTTTCCAACGACCCTTACTATAAAAATCTTTAAATTCGCAATAACAAAATTTGAGTGTCATTTATCGGGTTAAGAACTATCCTATCTCTCAAGTTGGACCAAACTGAACGCAGTGTGCAAAATTTTATTGAAATCAGTTCAGTAGTTTAGGAGTCCATCGCGGACAAACAACGTGACACGTAATTTTTATATATAAAGAAGCTTATATCGATATACTCAGTAGGAGCCTTTAAAGAATAAAAAAAAATCAATCATAGGCATATACTTTATTACGCTATCTTGAACCAACGCAATTTTCTACCGACTTCTAACAGGAGGAGGTAGTCAATTCGACTATATGTTTTTTTATGTGTGTTACCTCATAACTTCTTTCTGGGTAAACCGACTTCGATGACTCTTTTTTTATTTGAAAGCTAGTGCTTCACATGTAGTCCCATATAAATTTGATCAAGGTATGATCAATAGCTTTTGAGTTATTCTTAATAATTTATATTGAAGTTGGTTGTACAAAATTTTTAATTTTAAATTATTATTGAAAACAACTTCGCCATAGTGTTCACTATATACCCAAATTATAACATAAAACGTAATTTTCGCTCATCGGACTTTGTGGAATATGAAAATTTGTATTTTTTACATGATTTATAATGATAACTCACACTTTATATTTAATTTCCAGTTAATTCTGACTATTAAATATAAAGTAATATCTGAACGATACAGTGTTTGAAATAGAAATTTTATAAAGTGTATAAATTTGTTACGGAGAAAAATATAAGCAAATAACTTTTGAAAACAGTGTAATAACTTATCTTTTATATAAAATACTAACAACAAACTTTCTTTTGTATCCACTTAAATTTTTTTTAAATCTGTAGTTGCCTCTTACACTCACGCGGCTAAGGAAATAGACTAAGTATGTGAAGTAAGCACGACGCGTAGATAAAGGCGGAAACTCATCATTTGAAATAAATTCTCTTAATTTAGAGAAGCGTAATTTAGTAAAGAAACTAATTTTAATAAAATTTTAGTTGTATAATTCTTATAAATAACATTTATAAAAAAATTGTTCTGAGTATTCTTAACTATGGTTCTGATTAAACGTAGTGATTATATAGTCTTTGGTTCTAAGGGGTCTTTCTAAATATTACCATACTCTTTGGAGCGTTCTAACAAAGGTGACCTTGGGAGAGTTTTGGCGGGAACTTGACCGGCGACGGATTGCTGCTCCTGTATTATTCTGTCGAGTGTCGACACACTCTCGATCTTTACAACGTTGTTAACGAGAGACTTGGGGACTATAAATCCGACACCTCCTTGGGACAGATGGTCGCCCAGCCGGTGATAGAGCAAGTTGCCGGATTCGAGAATTACCGTGTCCTCCCCCTCTCTTCGGACCTCGGATTAACCCTTAATTTCATAGTGATGGAAATTTCCATCGTTAAGAATTTTTGTCTTTATTTTTAGTCTGTGATCCGAATGAATTTATTTACGGACATGTATATGAACATCGATGTTTAGGCAACATTTTTGAACGAAAAAAAAACTGTCAATGTCAACTGTCATGGTCAATCATCTGTTCAAGTGAAACGATAACTACTTGTGTTTTGTGGTGTTTCTGATTGTTAGTTTGTGAACTTATACGAACAAGTAATTATTGAAAAAATTATTATTTCATAAAATAAGGTAAGTTTTCAATACCTAGGCAATTTGTTTTAGAAGAATCATAGTTTTTAGTTGTATTCTGGGTCTTTTTGTTTATGATGGAAATTTCCATCAATATGCATTAGTCGTAGTTCTCGATGTATGGAAACCTAACTTTTCAGCACAATTATTCTTTTATAGTTTATCTCAAGTTTATAATGATTTTTATGTAATATTTCAGCAAAAATGTCTTTTCCAAGATCAAGAATAATCAATGATAGAGACATTGAAGAGTACTTGTCTGCTCTGGAAGGAGGATATCTGTCAGAAGATGGCATGGAAATGTCTGATACGGAAGATAATGAGGAAAGTATCTTTTACACCAATAGAAATGAACCGCTGCAAGACGTAGAGGATGATGATAATCTGGAAAATGAACCTACTTTACATGAAGAACAAGTTGATGTGCATGATCCCCCTCTGATTCAAGAAACTGTGGCATCTAAAGCAGGAGAAAACTCTGCTTGTTCGACTTGGGTGTTAGACAAGAGGAAGCTGATTTGGAAGAAGAGTACACTTCAGTTTTCTGAGTCAAATGTTGAATTTGAAGGAAGCACTGATCTAGGTACTGAAATAACAGCCCTAAAAACACCATATCAATGCTTTAACTACTTTTTTACAACTGAACTTTGTAACAAAATAATATCAGAAACTAATCTATATGCCACCCAATTAAATCCTGAAAATAGATTTAATTTGTCTCATTATGACCTGAAAAAGTTTTTAGGCATTCTGCTTCACATGTCTGTTCAGCATTTCCCCAGCACACGCAAGTACTGGTCAAGGCGTTTTGGATTTGAACCTATAAAGCAAACTATGAATGTGAATACATTTGAAAAGATCAAAAAATATATCCATTTCAATGATAATGACAAATATATACCAGTTAACCAACCAGGACATGACCGCTTATATAAGGTGAGACCAATTATTGATAGTCTAAATCAAACCTTTTCCAGTGTAAAAAAACATCAAAGACTATCAATTGATGAACAAATGTGTGCCACCAAAGTGGGACATTATCTAAAATAATATCTACCAAATAAGCCCCATAAGTGGGGATTTAAGTTGTATGTTTTATGTAGTGTTTTTGGATTTGCCTACAAATTTGAAATTTATTCTGGCCAAGACATTTCGACAAGACCTGAAGGTGAGCCTGACTTAGGTTCTACAAATAACATTGTGCTTCGCTTAACCAGAGATGTTCCACGAATGGTCAACCATATTATCTTCTTTGATAATTTCTATACATCTGTGCCATTAGTTATCTATTTGGCTAAGAAAGGAATACATTGCCTTGGCACAATTCAACAAAACAGAATTCCTAATAACAAGCTACCAGACAAAAAAGAGATGATGAAAAAAATACCCCTAGGGGTACTTATGAAGAAAGAACAGCGTCATATGAGGGAGTTGATTTAGCTTGCATAGCATGGAAGGACAATAAAATAGTGACTATGTTATCAAGTTACGTAGGAACAGAGCCTGTTTCAACCGTCAAAAGGTTTGATAAAAAGACGAGAGAAAGAATTGATATATTGTGTCCAAAGTCCATTACAGAATATAACAGTCATATGGGGGGTGTTGACTTGTTAGATAGTTTCTTGGGTAGATATCACATAAGAGTAAAATCTCGTAAATGGTATATTCGTATATTTTTCCATTTGTTTGATCTGGCTGTTATCAACTCCTGGATTATATATAAAAATAATGCAATAAAAGAAAATGTTGCAAAAAAGAACATTTTAAACTTAGGTGAGTTCAGAAACGAGCTGGCCTATGTTTTATGTAACTCAGGCACAAACGAAAATAAAAGAGGTCGGCCTAGCTCTTCCAGCCTGGAGCAGGAGTTGCAAGCTAAGAAGAAGAGGTTACAATCAAAACCAATCCCTCCATTGGATATACGGATGGATGGTCTAGGGCACTGGCCAGATGTTGGTGTGTCGCTTCGTTGTAAGTATCCACATTGTACAGGATACACCACCATAAGCTGTGCCAAATGTGGCATAAATTTATGCCTAAACAAAAATAATAACTGTTTTACTAGGTTTCACACTACCTAATATCAAATATGGCAATTACCTATATGTATATTAACTGTAAGTGCATAGTGATGGAAAAATCCATCACATGATATATAATATATTATATGAAAAAATAAATTACTACAACTATTTTAACATTTTTTTATATAATAAAGAAACTTTTTCTGCATCATGCATAATTTTTTTATTTTTAAATTCATAATCATAAATATTCTATGCATTTAAGGGTTAACCTATAATATGCCAGCGTAACTTGTCTATCTCTTCTTTCAGCTCCACGATCTTCTCGTCAGTCCTCAGGGTGCGTGCGTTGTAGTGCGTCTTAGGTGGCAGCCGAACCTCCACCGGAGATTCCTAGCACCCCCTGCCCCGCCGTTACCATGGTCGCCACCGTAACCAGGAATAGCGGGGCCGCCGGGGACTGGGGGCCGTCTCTTTGTTACTCTCATCACGGGGGTAGGGGGGGGGGGGGGGTATTTATCATAGTTGCTACGCTTGGCGAGCGGGTTCGCAACCGCAGTTTTTTTTATTGTAATGTTGCTGTTATCAGGAAGATGCTGCTGCCAACTCCTGCCTTTTTCCCACTGTCGCCTCTTACGACACCCACGGGAAGATATGGAGTTGTGGACATTCTTAATCGCCACTATACGGAATTTGAATTTAAAACCCTCTTAAAAATGAGACGATGCCTGTGTTCAGCGGTGGACCATAATATATAAGCTGTAAATTTATTTTTCAGCCATCAGATAAAACTCATCAATTAATTAAATAAAAACCTGGTATAAAAGTGAATCATTTAAAATATTTTATTAGTACAATTAAGTATAATTTTTAATTTGTTTATGTTGTATTTTATCATATGAATAACTTTTGTCTAATGATTGACAGATTTCCTCCAGATCGAAATAATTTAAAGAAACAAAATTTGTAACATTGGTTCGGCAGCGGCAGCTTTTGCTGTCGCACGGATGGGCCGGCTCGAACCGGGGTGGTACCACGACCTCACAGAAAACCAGCGTGAAGTAGAGGTTTACCTCTGCGTTTCGCTTGTTGAGTGCAGGTGGCCGGAGGCCCATTTTACTGGAAATGAGGCATTCCATCTTAGTCCTCACGGGTGACAACGCATCTACATTTTGATTTGTAATAGAGGATAGATGTAGATGTCTATGGGCCGCAGCAACCACTTACCATCAGGTGGACTGTGTGCTCCTTTGTCACCCTTATCCTTTAAAAAAAACTGTACTCGCAAAATAACGAGAAGAAATAGAAAAAAGAGAATATGTACATATTTGTGAAAATAATGGGAGAAATCATTACGAAAGCATAATTTCAACCTTAAATTTAATTGTTTTTACTTATTGTCAAAGGGAAACTCATAAATAATTGTTATGGACAATAAAGTATGTCTGTGTAAATGTCGTTCATACCGAATATCGGTCACGATGGTCAGTCTCAACAGGGACTAACCCCGAAACGAAAACTAACCATCTACCCAGGACAGAATCATATTGTACGTTGTGCGTGTACAGGAGCACTCTATTCACTACGATGGAATGACAATCCGATATGACACGAGAGACCACCGCTTTCTGAAAATCTTTTATTGAGTTCTCCAGGCATTAATCGGCAAATCCAATAAAAGATTTTGGCCCGACCCGGGATTCGAACTCGGAACGACATGATCAGTCGCGTTTTTTTTATTTTATAGAATAAGGGTGACAAACGAGCACACAGTCCACCTGATGGTAAGTGGTTGCTGTGACCCATAGACATCTACGTCTATCTTCGTTTGCGAATTAAAATGCAGATGCGTTGTCAGCCGTGAGGACTAAGATAGAATGCCTCTTTTCCAGTAAAATGGGTCTCCGGTTCTCTACACTCACCATACGAAACACAGCAGCATTAAGCTACTATTTTAGGCTGGTATTCTGTGAGAGCGTGGTCCTTCCCCGGTCGAGCCGACCCATTCGTGCTTCAACTATACTATTAATATAATATAGCTGCAGCATGGCTCTACCACGTACAAAACCGCGTTTACGAACACTTCCCCAATGGGGCAGTTACACACAGTTACAGTTCATTATTGATTATACTCTATTTAGTTAGGGGATTCTTTATTAGTGAAAAACCATAAAAAATAACATTCAATCGCTAGGTAAATACTAAATGATGGATTTCTAGGGACAGTTCTCACTTTGAATATGAATTTTAGTGTTTGTTAGAAATGGGCCGTTAACGTTACATTCTATTAAAGTCCAATGCTGAACATAGGCTTCCCCATAGATTGTCTCTTAGAGGGGATATTTGCGATAGTTTCCACGCTTGGCAAGCGGGTTGGCAACCGCAGTTTTTATTTTTAGTCGTTATTAGGAATTCGCTGCTGCCCATCTCCTCATTTGTTTCCCTCTATCTCCTCTTATGACACTCACGGGATGATTGGGGTAGTGGATATTCTTACACCGCCACTACACTCTACACACCACTACACGATAGAAATGTACATATATACAGTGGCGTAGCTACCGTAGCGGGGCAGTGCCACGGGGCCCCCAAGCTCAAGGGGCCCGTCGGCCTCTATGAACGACGGCCAAAAAAGTCATATAATATACTAATTGTATAAAGAATTTTCGACTTTTTACTTTTTGGCCCCTGACTTCAAACGGCTCGAAATGAAATCACAAAAATTACAACCACCTCCAGAACTTTTTTCTTTATAGAAGTGAAGGCAAAGAACATGCGGCTTACCTGATAGTAAGTATCGATCGCCGCTCATTAACTAATCAACAACATCAGAAGAATTGCCGGTGCCTAGTCGGCCTTTTAAAAAGGAGTTCTAAGTTGTATCAGTCCGGAAAAAACAAATCTAAAAAAAAGCCGTGCGAGAGAGAACACTTCTATTAAATCGCACAGTAATGGACCGCTAAACATCCCGGTGATGTGGATGTTAATGTGAGTTGTGAGTAATCCGAAAAGTTACTCATAGCACTCCCTGTCGTAAATACGATAAAAAATGCAAAGAGATGCAATATCTCTTCGCAGCGCTAGTGAATCGAGCAATTGAGCCGATCAGAGAGAACTCGGTCGTCAACGATTCGAGCCGCTCTGCGCTGGATGCGGTAAAATGGAAGAAGCTGGCACTGGGGAGCCCCGGCTCAGAGATCAGAACAATATTCCATGTGATGCCTAACCTGCGTCTTGTAAAGTTGAAAGCGGTGTGCCGGCATGAAGTACTGTCCCACTCTGTAGAGCACACGTATTCAGCACAATGGGAGGGATTGTATCAGGCCACTCGACTTGTTGACGTGCAGGGAGATGAGTGCTTTGAGCAACGAGTGCTGTGTAATCTGCCATGGAACACTCACAACGCGGAATGGTCGGCGGTGTGTACACTAATCGTCGAGAGTCAAATTGGACGCAAAAAGAGAGCCTAAAAGATCGGCTTCCTCCTTTGCGGCATGGGCCAATGAGTTCTCCCTGTGCAGAGATGGAGGAGATTTTCCTAGTATCTTCCATACTTACTTCTTAGGACATCCACGAAATGGAGTGATGTATTCTCTTATGTCACCACCAAACAGCATCATTAGGAGGCTTTAAATTGCGAAATATGCCTGTCGAAAATTTTTAGGGCGCACTCAGTGTTCTGAAGTAAACTTTTTAAAACTCGGTCAACTCCACGCTATATAAATAGCGCAGAATTGCATTTCGAAAGCTCCCCCGTGATGAAATTTGAAAAACCCGCCGCCATGTTTGAATCGATTGCCACTTGTGAGGATTCGACATACGGCTTCAGCGTTCAGACGTAAATTAAAAACCCACCCGCTATTATACTGTTGGAAGCTCGCTTTCGAAGCTAGCAGTACGCTCCGTAGTTCATTCAATTTCTCAATTTTATACTAAATGAAAAGCTTTTGTGTTTGTACTTAGAATTACAGTATAAAATTTTAGTAGCAAGTTGTGTCCACGTGGATTTTGTATGGAATTTAGACTTGAAGGAGCTTCGGGAGCTTTTAGATTGCAATCAAATAAAACCGTAATAGACAGAGTTTGTTAATCGACGTTGTTTTGAATTTTCACATTCATACATCATACTTACATAGTCGGTTAACATACTTTTAAGGTTCACTACAGAAGCAGACCATAGTCATTATCGTTATTTGAAAAAAAAAAGTATGAAAACATTAAGCTTTAAAAAAAGGTTTAGAACTACTTACAAATGCCGATCAAACTTTCTCAATCCTTGTTCTAGAGACATGTAAACGAACATTATGTACCTCTCTATTTTCTCCTTTTATTTATGGTTACTGATCTATTGCTAAAGTTCTGTTGTTTTAGTGCATAATTTGATAACGCTTTTAATAGTAACCCGTTAATCCCATTAATCTTTCTCCTCTTTTATTTAATTATTTTTTGGGTTGTCTGGCAGAAATTGCTATGTAAATAAGACCATCTCATGATTTCTTTTTATTTTTGTTTATTTTTTTTTTAATGTAAAATTGATGTGACAAAGGAATTGACAGTCCACCTGATGAACAACCCATGGAGCTGTGTGAATAAAACCATCTCATGATTTCTTTTTATTTTAGATTTTCTTTTAATTGATGTGACAAATGAATGAAATGAAAAAAAGTCCACCTGATGAATAGCCCAATGACACCAGCAGCCAATTTACAATAAAGAAAATTCTGAGGCCTAAGAGGGAATATCTCACAGTCTGTAATTATTTCTATACCCTTACCCTATGTTCTATAATAATAATAACTTACTATTATAACTTCCTATTATAACTTACTTAATAATAATAAAATGGCGTAGGGAAGTGACGACCCCATCGCCCGCTGACGTATCAGTTAAGTGACAAAACTGCTACGTCGGCGCAATCAGTCAGCACCTTGCCAAGCGGTGTTAGCGCCGTGCCTCGGCAAAATTGAGGGTACAAAGGCCCGTTAGTGCATATGGCTCCATCATGAAACGGTGCCGGGTCTGGGTGTCTCCCGTTAACTGACGCCCAATTTATGGAT